AAATAAAATTCAAAACGCTACCTCCTTTTCTTTCACCTCCAATAATTTATATAATTTCTAAGATAGATCCCTTCCTGCCCTAATAAATTCATTATTTTAATCATTTAAAACAATTTTGGAAGGATATCTAAGCATCATTTCAATATGTTCTCTCTATATATTGGGTCCTGCCAGTGATGGTGTTTTAATATGGTTTTTGCATTTGTGATTTACCTGAGTAAATGAATAGGAGCATCTTAATTTTTTATCAAGGCATCAATAATCTTATTAACTTTAACAACTGGAGTAAATTTACTTCTCATGATTTTAGTACTGGTCTGAAAGACTAAATAAAAATATATATTCTAAAAATCCTCTGTTTCGGGATGCCTGGGTGGCTCAGCTGGTTGAGCATCCGACTCTTGATTTCAGATGAGGCCATGATCTCACGGCTTGTGACTTTGGGCCCCGCATTTCTCTTTGCACCTCTTTTGCTCTCTCTGTCTCTCAAAATAAATAAACTTAAAAATTTTAAAGCAATATATTAAAAATTTAAAATAAATAAATAAGTAAAAATCCTCTGTTTATATTTGCCGTTAGTCATGAGAACTGCTAATGTCTCCTTTTTGTTCTTGATAATCACCTTTCAAGATACCAACTCTGATATGTGAGTATGGACCGCTGAGTTGATTAATATAGGTATTCCCAATATGGTTACACAGATTATTAGAGACAAAGATAGTCTTTCTTAATGGATTTACTAAAACTTTATGGGCCTGCTACTCCTATGTATACAACAGTCTGTTAAAGGCAATATCTTTTGGCCCAGAATTTCATATTTAAATGTTTACCTTTTATTGCTTGATAAGTCTCTTGCTCTGCAGAGAACAACACTCTTCTGGTCTGGCCGTTCCTCCATTTGAATAACTGCTAAGTGAGGGTAATTGGTTTTGTCTCCAAGATAGCAAGATAATTTGAATATGTTAGTAACACAGGGAAAGTAATTCAAGGTTAGACTTTTTGCTGCTTTTGAGGTTCTGTGTTTACTTGTTCTGGTGATAATGTCACAGGCTAACTCTCAGACAGTAAAAGAAGTCAAATTTTGCCTCCAAAGAAACTTGTTTCTTGATAGTTTTCTAGTGCTCTCAAATGCAGGTGTCAATCCACTAAGCAAGAGAAAACAAAATAAAAACAAATTGTCTTTCCTCACAACTCTGTTTACATCTCACCTGCATTTTCATCTTGCCTCATTCCAAGGACAAATCTTAACTGAAGCAGGAGCAGTTTCAAGAACTCAGAGCCATTAGTAAGCACAAAATAATCATATGATGGTCTGAGCAAGAAATATGCTGGTGGCTTTATGTATTCTCAGTCCTGACATCAAACCTCAAATTCAGCACCATTTCCCCCAAATCCATACATGAGGAAATTATTCCTTAACCCTCCATTATGTGCATTTGAGAACATTGAAAAAAATATCAAGAGACAAGCAATCTCATGAGGCAAATGCATTTCCTATCATCCAGGAGAAACAATATTTTACAGCAATATTTAAAACCAGGATGTATTTCAAATAACAATGTATGAGGATGGAGTCTGTGGTATAGTTTTTAAGGGATAATATGTACCTTCAAACACTACTTTGTATATTTAATTTTCTATCGAATAAGATACTATAAGTTTGTAATTTAGTAGAAAAAAAGAGAAAGAAAATTTTTCCTCTATGTCACTTCTGTCAGATTGAAAGTTTTTAAATTTCCTGTTCATTACTCTAGAATGATAAGGTGTTAAGGCTTATTGCTCTATTTGTATTAACAAAAGGGTTTTGTTCTATAGAAATAGAATAAGGTTACTTATACCAGCATCTCCTGTATTCTGTGATGATTATGGACCAGTGTTTGGATCTGGTCCTCACTGTTTGTACCTGATCTTCATTCCCTGGTAATTTAAGAGTCAGTGTTTACAAAGCACTGTAGATTTTGGTCATCGTGGTTTTCTACCATTGATGCTGACTGTACATTCCATCTTGTATTTGGTCAGTTTTAATCTCTGCGTTCCCCAACGTAGTCTCCTTCAAGGAGCATTAGCATCTTATGTAGGGCTATTTGGTGCAGATTTTTTTCTCTATCATACAAAAAAATGATCCGATCCTCAGAATTCTGTAGTGTTGACAGCTTAAAGGAAATAGTACAAGATAAAACCTAACTCAAGAGACTATACCCTCTAAGTGATTTAAAAAATTATTTAATTTCCATTAAATAATTTTCACCTGCAGTTTTCAGATTGAGTATTATGAATATAAAGAAGCACTGTGGATGAAATTAATACTGGAAGTTAGTGTAGGTATAATTATTGCTTTTTATATCCACCTAGAGTAAGATTGTTCACAGCAGTTTTAATGAGAAATGTTGTTGAGGGCTTTCTGGTTTCATACTCTAACATGACACCAATATGCTTGCTTTTCTACTGTTTTGTGGAATGATGGATTGCAAATTTCCATTGAGATTTTTTCCTGATCAATTCTTTTTAAAAAATTTAAAAAAATGTTTGTTTTATTTTTGAGAGAGAGAGAGAGCATGAGTTGGGGAGGGGCAGAGATAGAGGGAGACACAGAATCTGAAGCAGGATCCAGGCTCTGAGCTGTCAGCACAGAGCCCAACGCAGGGCTGGAACCCACAAACCATGAGATCATGACCTGAGCCAAAGTCAGACACTTAACCCACTGAGCTACCCAGGAACCCCTGGTCAATTCTTGATGTCAGAGAAGATTCCTTGATTAACAAATGACAATGATGTATGTATATTGCTATTAATGACGGTAAACTCAAGGTGACCCATAACCTCAATGACATTGAGTTATCAGAGCAAAAAATAAACTTTGACTATAAAATGGAGGGTCCCATAGATTTTCTGCTATCTTACAATTGGAAAGACTTATTCACTTCTCAGTCATTTAGGAAAACTGACTTTCATGATAAATGACATAATATAAAAGAATTTGAAGAAAAATTATAACTTATTTTTTTATTATTCTAACTCATTTGTTTGAGAGGGCAGGACATAAATCAATATGCATTTTTATAACATGCTATTTTCTCATTATCCATTTAAAATTTATATATTTTAGAGTTTTCCTATTTGTATATCAATCACAGGGTTTATTATTAACAATTTTCTCTTTGCTGTCACCATAAACGTGGTTGCCAGTGGCTTAGCACCCATGAGTATCCTAGCAACAAGTCAGCTCTCTAGTAAGTAAGAAATAAATGCAAACAGTGTTATGGGAAAAAAAGAGTTCAATTTCAGAATATTAGTGCATGTGTACTGTTAAAAATCCAGATGAAATCATCTAATTTGGGGGAAATTGCATGACAATAGATATTGAATTTTCTAGTAAATAATACATTGGAGTGAAATCTTGTCTCCTTCATTCAGAAAAAAACTGGAATCTATTTCAGACTGCACCGCTGTTGACTAGGTAACTGAATATTTGTGTCTTCCCTGGAAGCCTCTTCATTACAGATTAGATGAGAGGAGTGTCTTGGCATGTTTTCACTCTGTGGTAGATGAGTTTACTAGATGAGGTTTCAACAATAAACCTTCCTGACAGTGATGTATTGTTAATCTCTTAAATAGGTTTAGAATAAATGTTTTATTTCATGTTCAAAAGGTTGTGCTTATACTACTGAACTTTTGGGGGGATCTTTTTCTTGGAAATATTGTAAAACATTCCACCTGTGTTTCACATGCTGAGACTTTGGTATATTTAGTATCAGTTTCTTTTGGTGAGTTTTAACTTATATAATTACTGTTTATTTTCACTGAGAAAATAGCTCTCCTGTGTTTTAGTTGTCAGGTCATAAAAGAAGTATATCAGGTATTGGAGAAAAACTATAGCTTTATAAGATCATCATTTGCATGATGAATAGACCTAGGGAGGGAGGGAAATACATACTGGTGAATACCTTCCATTAAATTGCACAGCTTCTATTCTGTGCCACCAGCAGAATTACTTGGCCTTTCACAATTTGACAGACAGTTCACTGGACTTCAAGAAATCTTAGTGCCCCATGGAAGATTGAGGTAAGGGACAGAAGGATAAGATATGAGCTGAACATATGATTGTGCATTTTAAATGAATGCATAGAATTGTAGAACTAGAAAGCATCTTTTCTCTGGTGAAGATTACTTTCCCCCACATACCCCAAGGTTTAGGTTATCTTTAAAATCTAACCTTAAATAACTGAGCTGTTTCTTGCTATAATCACGATTGGGATATGAGCTCAAATCTGACATCTTTCCCTCACTAGCCACACAGATCTCTCTTCTTTGGGGAAGAGGAGAATAAAAATCATGAGATCCTTAAAGAGAGGGCCAAATCAGATGGTCTGATTTCATCTATATGTGAGAACTTTGGACACTTACGTGATTTGGGTTGAAGTGAGTCACCTTAAATAAAGGAAAGAATATTCTTTACATGAGAAACACTTACCTATCCTTGAAGGTATTCGACTACATTGAATAGATCATTGCATGAGATTTATACCCAAAATGTCTTAACAGAATAATATGAATCTATATTGATGATGCTACTCATGATGGCTGTAGTCCTTGGTCAGTTGTTCAGGAAAGTGCCATTTTAGATGGGACATGCACACTACCTCCCCCTTCCAGCATACATGTTCTCTGGAGTCATGTTGTTGAAAAAAGTCATCATTTATTTTGGGAAGTTGAGTTCCTAGAGGGCAAAGTTGATCTTATTTGTTATCCAGTGAAACAAATTATTATCTTTTTCTTTTCGGTTAGTTTCTGTAGGCATGTTAGAAAGATCCATTGCAATCACTGAAATTATATTAAGATAAACTGCAGAATATATGTTAGAAAGTGATGAAACACTTAAATAATATATGCCCTTTTAGAGGAAGTAAAGCTTAAAGATCCACTAGGGACATAACTTAATGACATAAAACTATTATTAAGTTGTGAAGTTGATCTAAAAGGAACTATACTTGTTGTTGCAGGTTTGGTTACAAAAGTACGGCTACCTTCCACCAACTGACCCCAGAATGTCGGTGCTGCGCTCTGCGGAGACCATGCAGGCCGCCTTAGCTGCCATGCAGCAGTTCTATGGCATTAACATGACAGGAAAAGTGGACAGAAACACAATTGAGTAAGTAATGGCATCCACACTCTCCTTTTTTTGGGTCCTTGAGCCAAACCAAGTAGTCTGATAAAGTTTAAGTGACCTCCACCAACCACGAGTGGAGCAATTTGTCTCATGTCTCTTTTCCTTGGAATGTAGCCTGTTTTAACTCTACTCCCCTATGAGGTCAGGTTTGTCAAAGCCAAATTTACTCAGCTGGCTTTAGCAACACAGTTTCAGAATAGAGGGAGAAAACGGAACAATGAGAGTCAAAGTAAATGTACAGTTGAAGGTATTATGAGGCTATGGTCACTGTTGTGTTGGAAGTGGCTTGGGCTGCTGGAGAGGGCGTGTTGTACACATCTCCTCCCTGTTAAGTACCAACGTATCAGTAGCTTGAAATGAAATTGACCCAAAGTAGAAATACTGATGCTAAGGAAAATGGGAAACAATACAAATAAGGGCTCTTATGGGGGAAGGGGGAAGGGTGTCAGAGAACCAATTAATAGCTTCCTCCTATTAGTGGCAATTCTCTACATGAGTTAAATCAAGGAGAGGTTTACTGCAAGTCTCTTCTTTCGTTTTTTTTTTTTTATTAGAAAATGGAGAGTTTTTAATTCCTTAATGGTATTTGTTATTTGATCAATTGATTGATCAGTCATTTGTTTATGTGTTTATTCAACCAATAATTCATTAATGGGCACTTAATACGTGAAAGAGGCATATAGAGATTCAGAAGACAGACTCTCTTGTTCAAAGGAACTTCAAGTTAACCTTGTAGCTGGGCATAATCACAAATTATTTTACCACAGGTGCACTATAAGTTCTATAACATTATCAAACAGCATTATTGTTTTTTGGACAGCAAAGGAGGAAGTGATTAATTCTTTCAGTGCAGGGAAGAATCATTTGTGTTTATTGAGTCCTTGATACTCACAAAATAAATCTACTTCATCATTTAATATCATCATCATACATCAACCCTCCACAATAGGGAAGACAAGGATACATTTTTTTTCCTCTCTACTTTTTCAAATAAGGAACTAGAAAGTCAAAGGCTAGGTGAAATCCAGAGTATTTGCAGAATCCAGACCTTTTAATATTTAGTTGGAGAACTTTCTACTATTCCATGCTCTGGACCTTGAGAAATGATACATTTACTTTTCTTTTTAAACCTTAAATACCTGAAATATCTGTGCTTAAGTATACATAATTTTTACATATTAAACTAATTTAATATATAATTTAAAATTATATGTGGCCTTCTAATACTTACATCATGATATTTGTCATACTATTTCTATTTCATCAAGACTGGGGAAGCACATGTTAAAAAGCTTGAAGATTAAACTTCAAAGCAGTTTGGAAAAATAAATTACCTCTCCTAGCATTTTTAAGAGATACTTAAATATTAACTTTTGTATATATCTGGGAAAACAGAACTAAGATTTAATGTAGTGCCTTCTATAAGAATGAGAATCTTGTTATCAATATTGGGAATAGACTTGGATATTTTAAACCTGCTGCCCTCTGTGCATTGCAATTCTCTCTTACTAGTGTCATTAAAATTGTAAATTGATTTTAAATATAGCCTGTTATATTAATAAACAAAGCCAGCAAATCCTGCATTTTGTTACTGTGTATATATAGTAGAAAATTACATTTAAATCATACTTTTAATCCCAGCATTTTACAAAGTGCTCTGGACAGCTTTTTTGCTACCTAATGCAGGGCTGTTATCTTCTGATTCGCTTTCCTGGAACATATGACACAGTTTTTAAAAACACAGTAAATTGAAGGGGCACCTGGGTGGCTCATTTGGTTAAATCTCAGGCTCTTGGTTTCAGCTCAGATCATGATCTCACTGTCATGAGATGGATTCTGTCTTCGGGCTCCATGCTGGACCTGGAGCCTGCTTGGGATTCTCTCTGCCCCTCCACTGCTCACTTGCATAACTCTCTCAAAATAAATAAACTTAAAAAAATACAGTAAATTGTGAACTTGGGAAACAAATGCCTTTGGATCTGCTTATTACTAGATGTGAAAATTCAGAAAGCAGAGGCACCTGGGTGGCTCCGTCAGTTAAGTGTCTGACTCTTGATTTCTGCTCAGGCCATGGTCTCATGGTTCAGGGGTTCGAACCTCGCATTGGGCTCTGTGCTGACAGCTCAGAGCCTGGAGACTGCTTTGGATTCTGTGTCTTCCTCTCTCTCTGCCCCTCCCCTACTCATATTCTGTCTCTGTCTTTCAAAAATAACAAATGTGAAAAAAAATTAAAAATAAAATAAAATTCAGAGAGCAGAGTTCTGTCGAAGGTGGCATTTGTGTTTCCTGTCAGTTTTGAGAGCTACTGCTAGTCATTGGAAAGACTCAAGATGGAAAAAAGTCTTTGTCAGGAGATGACGGAAGAGGAATGTGTGCTGGATTTACGTAGGCCCCTTATGTAGAAAGGACCTGAACAGTTTTTAGTTGATCTTTGGCAGGACAATGCAAAATGCAAGGGCACAGAGAAGGAAAAGCGTCTTTTTCTGCCACACAGTGGCTTAAATTCCAGACCAGGAGAAATGTTTGTGTCGATGTGTAAAAGTTAAAGTAGCATTTCTGTGAATTATAGCATTTTAGAGAAGAGCTCAACTATATAGGCAACCTTTAATTTACAACGAACCAGTGGTTTAGCCTGTTTTCTTTAACCAAACTTCATTCTAATTCAATTTTTTTTTTTGAGTCGGAAATGCATATTTTCCTTCACATAGAGTGTTATTCCTAGACGAGTCGACTAAAGCCTTGTTAAACCCTCATTATCGCCCCTTCCTAGACTGCCATGCCTCCTCTGTCCTTTATGGTACTTTCATTGTCACTCAGATTAGAAACCCTGTGGCTTCATTGGCCTCCTGTCTGTTTTTTTTTCCACTGCTCTATCTCTACTCTTGATGTGTTGTTGCTCAGGGTACTCAGCTCAAATAATGTACTATTTTTGTAAGTATAATCCCTATAATCATGCTACTTAAGCAATTGTCTGTGCTTCTGTAATCTCAAATGAATGTGTAATAACAATCCATGCTGAAATTGTACTCTATTATTTTACATGGTCAAATTATAAAGTATGAATTTTTATCTAAACCTTATTACGTAAAATATGGACTACAATTATAGACCTAAAATTACTCCTCAGTATTAATGTCTGAGGATTCATTTTCAGATGCTATAAACTTTTATCTTGTTTTAAGCTCTTGTCATTTCAGTTATTTTAAATTAAATAATTATGTCCTCTTTTGTCATTTGGTGTATTCAATCTATAATTCTTGGTTAATTAAAAGATGAAATTGTGGTAATCTCTATATTATGTTGAAGGAATTAACCATTTTTTAAAATATTTTTATTTATTTCTAGGAGAGAGAGAGAGAGAGAGAGAGCGTGAGCAGGGGAGAGTCAGAGAGAGAGGGAGATATAGACTCTGAAATAGGCTCCAGGCTCTGAGCTGGCAGTCAGCACAGAGCCCAACGCGGGGCTCGAACCCACGAACTGCGAGATCATGACCTAAGCGAAAGTCGGACGCTCAACCGACTAAGCCACCCAGGCGCCCCAGGAATTAACCATTTTCAAGCAGCAAATTTAAGTATTACCTTAAATGGCATATTGCTTTTATATTAATTGGCATTAGTGTTGCAGAGACAGTAACGAATGCTTATCCGCGCCCCAGAATGAGCTCATAATCATATGTTGCAAGGGTTCTTTTAAATTGTGGGTTGCTTAGCTAATTTTTATAAGCAAACTCCCTTAAATTCCTTAATAAGTGAAGCAATTTATGTTATGCATAAAAAAGGTTACATTAAGCAAGGAAAGAAAAAGCTAGCAAGGCAATAATGAAAATCAGTCTAATGTGTTTTACAATATTAATAGTAGGTATCTTTAAATTTTAATTCATCTTTCATGTGTGCACAGTATCATGCATTGAAGTATGCTTGATGAGGTATCATTTTAAGGTGATCTTTTTTATTTCCCTCCACATATATGCATACACATATATGAATACACACACATACATATACATATATATGAATACATATATATTGGATGATCTGAGTAATTCTAATTTATTTAAATCACGCAAAGAAATGTATCTTAATTAAAATTAATTTCAGACTGAATATGTAGCTTTGTTTCAGATCATTGTTATGAAATAACAGTGGTATTTGAATTCTCCTAATTTGAGAATTGAAATATTTATTTAGATATATCAAAAACCACAGGCTTTGAGGCTTAATTTTCAATATGTTTCATGATTTTTACTCATTTTCTAAATTATCAAGTTGAGACTCTCAATCTACATATAAGATATAGGTTCATCAGTAATTAAATTTCTTTATTTCCGAAAAGAACAATGACACTCAAACACTATGACATTATAAAATGTACCAATCTTTATTTTGGTAACTAGCTAAGGATGGCTGATAGCTAAATCAGAGTGCCTACATTTTGAACCCTAAGATAATTTACTTTTAAAAAAAACCTTCAGGGCTCCTGGGTCACTCAGTCGGTTGAGCATCCAACCTCAGCTAAGGACATGATCTCATCGCTCTGGGCTCAAGTCCCCTGACAGGCTTTGTGCTGACAGCTCAGAGCCTAGAGCCTCCTTTAGATCCTGTGTCTCCCTCTCTCTCTACCCCTCCCCCACTCACACTCTGTCTGCCTCTCTCAAAATAAACATCAAAAAAAAAAAACAAAAAAAAAACACCTTTTCATGATTCCTGGACTTGGTTGTATGAGTACAAACAAAATCTAAGGTTTTTTAAAGTAATAAAAATAAGGGGTATCTGGATGGCTCTGTTGGTTAAGGGTCCAACTCCACATCAGTTGATGATCTCAGTTCCTGAATTCAAGCCCCGCTGAGCTGTCATCACAGAGCCTGGAGCCTACCTCAGATTCTGTATCTCCCTTGCTCTCTGCCCCTCCCCTGTTCACACTCTGTTGCTCTCTTTCAAAAGTAAATAAGCATTTTTTTTAAAATAAATGAAGTAATATAAGCA